TATAAGCACTGCCTCCACATGGTGGACAAAGAGGTTAGTCACATGCAAAAAAGCAGCCATCGCCTAACAATAGGCTTGATTAGTTCTATTGTTCACAGAGGGTCATGTGCCTCATCACCTGACCTGTGTCGTGTTATGTGAATGTAGTGAATGCAAGCGGGGGTTCAACGTCCCGTTGTTTTTGTCCCTCTCTCCCTCTTTGTGTTGGTATCATTGGGGCCCTGATTCACACCTTTTGCTCACAGGGGGCGGAGTCATACTTGCAATTACATTATTACAGCATTGTACTTTAAGGATTCTGGTTCATCATCGTCTCTAACATGCTTTTATGCATTTAAAAATAGTTTTTCTGGTATTTTATTGTAAAATCAGCAGCAGACTTGTTGAATTTGTTCATTGTCAATGGCAAGATATAATTACAGTATGCTTTTGTAAGACTACAAGTGCAAAATACAGTTAACAATTCTCTAAATGCTTGATTGTTATTTCAACCTTAAACTTTTCTGCATTTTTAAAACAGTATTATGTTTTAATAGTATTATTAAAACATAATACTATGTTTTAATATTTGATTAAAATATAGTATTATAGAATATAATCTAGTACAGTTAGAACAACTTTGATCAAACTGCCAGTTAACTGATYCATGCAATGAGACTTGGACTTGAGGTCAAGAGACTTGAGACTTGACTTGGATTTTTGGTCAAAGCCTTGAGACTTGACTTGGACTTGCAAAAAAAGACTTGTGCAGATCTCTGGGTCATCAACAAAACTTTAAACCCAACTCTGAAGCAAACAGGGACCAAAAACAGGAAGCAGCTCAAATGAAAAATGTGTTATTTTTTGTTTTGTTTTTATTAAAAGCTGAGCTGCAGGTTTTGGACTAACTTCAATCCTGAGAGGCCAGTCTGAGTAATTCCAGCATACAGGATGGTACAGTTCTACAAATTAAGCTGTTTCTAAAAGAATGAGTAAATATAATGGTTTCCACTGTTTAAATGCACTTTAGTACAGCTCCTTTGATTAAGAGGAAGTTCCAGAGTTTCTGTTTTACTCTTCTGACAACATGAAAAAATGTAACGAAACTCTTGCTGCCGTTTCTAGTTTCTGTACACTGCTGCTGCAATTTAATTTACAAATGGATTGCCAGTTTTTGAGCAACAATTCAAAGAGAAAAGTTTTAGGCACTAAMCTGACCTGTGTGCTTTAGCAGTTCTTCAAAGGAATCGCTCCATTGTAAGGCCGCTTCCACTGAGATGCTGCAAATGAAAAAAAAAAAAAGAAAAGCATAAAAAGAAAATCAGACATGCAGTGACATCCTTCCTAATGATTGTGTTTTAGAGAAATGTCTGGATGTCAGGTTTCTGTGTGTCTAACGAGTCACAGTCCTGGAAACGCAGGTTAAAAACCAATCCTGCTTGTCTAAAATAACAGTGGCTGAACATGGATTGTGCCTCACTCGCTTGATGTCGTATTTGTCTTTTTATGGGGGCTGACGTTTTCATGGGAGCCCGACTTGGTGAGAAAAAGGCCGAGTCGGCTTTTCCTCTCCTTGTCTTTCTGTCTGCAAACAAGAGAGAAAATACATCACGTTCCACAGACAGCCTGATCCGCCGCTCTGGCTCCATTTACCAAATCAGCAACTTATCACTGACTTATCTTCTTCCCAGAGACATTTTGTGATGCTGGGCATGACACATAATAAATTACACAACATCTTTGTGATGAAATATTAATCAAAAGACAAGTAATCCAACACTTCCTAACAAAAAGTCCCACCTGGGTTGCCTGTAAATGCTTCAAAGTGTCAATTAAAAAAGGAAACTGACATTTTTTGCTGCTAATATTGGTAACAACTGCAGTTGTTCTCAAATTTCTAACCAACACTTGTATATTAAAAAAAAATATATACTGTATAAATATTTATATATAAACTAACTCAATCAAGTCTTAAAAATGTAAAAAAAAATGGCTGTTCAGACACCAACCTGCTGCTGTTGTCCTTCATCGCTGGTGTCTGCAAGTCCTCTACAGCAAACATTTTGAAATATGCTTCCTCCTTTGAGGCCGTGCAGTTAAATTGAGGAAATAGAAAGAGAAGCGTCTCCATGCTGTTCTCGCAYTGTGTCTGGTGTGCAAAGCGGCAGGCCACAAATAGCACTTCGGAAAAGCTGTTTAACCCATGATTTGACAAACCACCTCATCTTTTATAAACCCAGCTCACATTTCAGTTCCCATACCTGCTCCACTTCCTGAGATGGTGCAACAGCTTCGTCTGTGACACAGAAAACCCCTGTGGGTTTAACATCCTGTCGACATTTTGCTTCTAATTTAGAAGGAAAGAAATTCTGTGTTCATTCGCTGTAAAAAAATTTTTTTTTGATCTCATGACTATTTTAGAAGGAAGAAGAAGAAATAGTTGTCCTATGGTGTTTCAGTGTCTGTCTCTAAAAGTGTGCTTGATATTATATAAAAATATTGATTATTTTCTTAATGTCATTTTTCTGAGAATTACAGGSGTAGGCACCAAACTCACAGGAGTAAAGTTAGTATTTGTGAGGTCTGGTGAAGAGTTCAGGCGTTATGATCAGAGTTGCACATAAAATCTTTGGTCTGGTTCTCAGGGGAGAGTCTAGGGTTGTTGCTTGGTGCTCATACTTTCCTTCACTCATTTAACACAGTACGGTCCTAAATAAAACAAGTTTAGCAAATCAAGAACCTTGTTTTTTGATAAAATTGTGAATGAAATTTGTGGATCTTTTTGATAAATTAAAATAACATTTAAAACCTACCTAGAGAACATGGCAAGTTGTTTTTATTTTTTTCAATATATCTAATGTTTTTGACAGGGTGTCATCTTTGCTTTAATTTGGGGCAAACAAATCTTCTGTTAGTTAATGTGGTTTAATTAGAAAAACTCAGTGAATCTCACAGAAAGACTCAGCCTGCGCGCGCAGCGATGCGCTCATACAGCAGTCTCTCAGGAGGAGACAGTTTAGTCACACAGAGTTGGACAGATCTGTTCAATAACAACATTCCGAACACATATTTAATATAAAGTTAAGTTTTACAGACCAAAGTCTCTGGTAGTTCAGGAGCAAAGTGCAGGAGGAGAGGAGATCAGGACTGAACGTGTCGTTGCAGCAACTCCAGTCGAGCCGTCCGCTGCTTCAACCAAACTTGCTCTCACTGAAAGTCCCGCCCTGCTCTGCTCTGATTGGACAAKACYGCTCTYGACTTCYTCTGATTTSTTGAYGGCAGTGTKCATTTAATCCTTATATCAGGGTCCCGCTGTGTCGCACCGAACAACGATCCATTCACACCAGTGCCGCTGGATTCTTTTTCATTTGTCACATTTGCGACCAAACTGGTTGCACTCTAGAGCCCTGCTAGCTGTTATTTTGACAGACAACCAGGTACAATCCTAAGTGCGCAASGGAGCTTTATGACGTTACATCTGGTGCGCTTTTTTTCCTTTTTTGACCGCACATGCGTACCTGCGCACTGGTTATGTGCACCTCTGGTTATGATGGATAACATTTGAACATGGAGCTACAATGCTACGTTAGCTGCCCGGTGCTAGCAGTTTGGACTCAATGCAGGAAGCACTTGTTCTCATCATGGTCAGGCCTGCTGGACCAGGAAGAAAGTAGAGTGTTTGTGGTTGAGGTTCTGCACAGAAAACCTCTTGACCTACATTCTCTTTTGTTGTTGATGTGTTCCCATCTACAGCAAGGCTGACGCTGACGGTCAGGGCTCTCAAGTTTTGACCTGAGCTTGGAGTCAGATTTCGAGTCACTGAACACTGTTGCCTATTCCTCAGTAAGAAAACTCGCTTTTGGCCGCTGCTAAAAGCTGCTAAATAACGTTATCATCCAATTAGCTTACTTTTATTCCACATATTAAACAGASTGTCAAAACAGGATTTTATCATTTGAAGAATATAGCCAGAGTCCGCCCTCTTCWGTCCTTGGCCAAAACTGAGATTTTGAWACATGCTTTTATTTCTAGTCGTTTAGACTATTGTAACACACTACTTRCTGGTCTTCCTAAGAAAAATCTGTCTAGTCTGCAGCTGTTGCAAAARCCCACTGCTTGTGTGCTAACAAAGACCAGAAGGCATGWATWACACCTGTTTTAAAATCATTGCACTGGCTCCCTGTACATCTCAGAATTGATTRTAAGGTTCTTTTACTGGTTTTTAAATGTCTTAATCATCTTGCGCCATCTTATCTGGCTGAGCTTTTATAACTCTATGAACCACCATGAACCCTAAGATCCTCTGGCACTGGACTATTAACAGTTCCAAGAGTCAGAACACACACACACACACACAC